GGAGGAGTTGAAGTGCGCAGCCTGCGAACGCTTCCAGAAGCAACCGATGCATCCCATAGCATCGGGACGGCTGGCGGACCCGCTCGACGTGCTAGTGATGGACGGGTTCGCCGGGCTCGTGGCACCCTCATGGTGGACGAGGGCAGCGCGAAGGCGGTGGTCAGCGTGCATGCCACACAGCGTGATGGAGGTGGATGTAGCAACACCAACGCGGACGAGGCCTGGGACACCTTCGTGCGCTGGTGGGCTCAATGCTTCGGACGCCCGCTCCAGATACGCACCGACCCGGCGGGAGAGTACGAGGCCCACGTGAACAAGGAGAAGGCCGACCACCACGACATACAGTAGGAGTCAGAACCCGGAGGAGCACACTGGCGGACGGGGAAGGTGGAGTCCGTCATCATGTTGGTGAAGAACACGGCCACGAAGCTCGCCTACCTGGACCCAACGTGCGACATCGACGAGCTCTTCATGTGAGCGGCTGCCGCCCACAACGAGATGCCGAACAGCTCCGGCTTCAGCCCGGACCAGATCGTCCTCGGCAGGCGCATGAAGCCCCTGGACAGCGAGCTGATGGGCTCGGTGGTCCCGCTGCAGGAGGAGGCTCGCGCGGGCTCTGCCGCGGAGGAGGCCATGCGACGGCGCCTCCTGGCCCGCACGGCCTAGAAGGAGAGCATGGCGGACCGCCAGGCCCGGCTGACCGCGGTAAAGCGCGCCAGGTTGCAGCAGGAGTACACCGTGGGAGACCAGGTGCACATCTTGCGACAGGCCGGCAAGACCGACAAGGAAAAGAACATGACGTCCGATGGCGGCTTCGTTGGCCCAACTACCGTCCTCGCCCACCTCCGGCAGCCGCTGGAGGAAGGTCGCCTCCGGAACGTGGTGATCCTGGCTTTCTGGGGACAGGTCCTCCGATCCGCTCCACAGCAGCTGCGCTTGGTGTCGGACGCTGAGCGGACCATGATCGAAGTGGACTCGGAGACCCGCGACTTCCTGCACCAGCGCACGGACCAGGCGCTGAAGAAACTCTCCCGCGTGGTGGACATCACATAGGAGGGCGAGCCGAACTACGACCAGCTGGACGCGCCGGCCAATGTCGACGAACCGCCCGTGGAGATGAGCGTGGACCCGGAGCCGGGGCCGCCCTCAAATGGGGCGGCACCGAGAGAGCCAGAGCCTCCTCTGCCGGGTACTCACGGGAGGCCAGAGCCGGAGCAGGAGCAGCCGGGGCGCGAGCCATCGCCCGAGCGCGGGACCGAGGAGTCCGAAGGTGACGGAGGAGCGCCACAGCAGGCGAGGGCCTACGACCCAAGGGACGACCTGCCCTTCAGCATCCGGCAGCGGCTCAGCGCGATGAGAGGAGGCCCTCGGAGTCCTCCCCGAGAACCAGAGGCAGAGCTCCCAGCACCTCGGGGTGAAGTACGGCCTCGAGAAGAAGCTGAGTAGGCTGAAGGCCCCGCGCTGAAGAAGAGTCACGAGGGACTTGAAATGGAGGACGTCCTGGCCGCCGTCTCCGACGATGTCTCCGCCTACGAGGTTCACATCGACCTCCCCGACAAGGCGACGGACAAGAAGGCCTGGCGCAGGCTTACGCGGGATCCGACAACCTAAGCCGCCGCCGCCGCCGCCGTGAAGAAGAGCGGTCCAAAGGTAATCCTCCGGAAGCTGGACCCTGCCATGCGGGAGCAGTTCCGCGCTGCCAAGAACGCTGAGGTGAACAGCTGGCTTGCCAACCAGGTCACCGCGGCGGCCAAGCGAGCGGACGCCGGTCCGAGGGGACCGATGAGGATGCGCTGGCACCTGACGGTGAAGTCCGACGGGCAGGCCAAAGCCCGGATCGTGCTCCTGGGGTTCGAGGACCCCCGGCTGGGTCACATGCAGACGGCAAGCCCGACAGCCTCCGTCAGAGCCCGAAACCTGGCCTACCAGGTCTGCGCGAATGAGGGCCTGCGCATCCACAAGGGAGACGTGAAGGCGGCCTTCCTGCAGTCTCAGAGCTCCAACACCGGCATCTTCGTAGAGCATGTCCGCGAGCTGCGCGAGGCCATGGACATGCGGGAGGAAGAGGTCGTGCTGATGCTCAAGGAGGCCTACGAGCTGTGCGACGCGCCGAAGGAATGGTACGACGAGGTTGCGAGGCGCATGGCGGAGTCCAGCTGGGTGGCCATGAAGCTGGAGCCGTGCGTCTGGACCTTGTACGACAAGGGCCGCTTAGTCGCCATCGCCTTCGTGCACGTGGACGACTTCGTGGTGGGCATCAAGGAGGACAACGACAAGGCGAAGCAGAAGCACGAGGAGCTGCGCAACTACTGGCAGTGGGGCTCCTGGGCAACCGGGTGCTTCCGACAGACGGGCGTGGACGTGGTGCAGTTGGCCGACCATACCATCTCGCTATCCTTCGCCGCCGCGGCCGCGAAGGTGGAGATGATCGAGGGCTGGAGCGGACGACGGGGACGAGCTGACGATGCCCTGCCGGCGCCAGGCATCACAGCGTGCCGGGCCGCCATCGGAGGCCTACAGTACCTGGCCTCGCAGGGGCAGAGCCTCATCGCGGCGGACACGAGCATCCTGTCGTCCTACACCAACGCCGCGACGTATGGGCTGGTGACGCGCATCAACAAGGTGATCCGCACGGCCCATGAGACAGCTCGCGTGCCAGTGCGCTTCCGGGCCGTCAAGGACCCCATCTTCATCACCTTCCTCGACGCGGCCTGGGCAGTCCAGAAGGACGGCAAGTCTCAGGGAGGCTACATCATCGGGATGGGGGAGCGCGCTCTGCTACAGGGCGAGAGCCATGCCACCTCCCCGCTGCAGTTCACCTCGAAGAAGCTGCCGCGGGTGACCCGGTCCAGTCTGGGCTGCGAGGTGCAGTCGGGCAACATGTGCCACGAAGACCTCACCTACATGCGCATGGCCTGGACGGAGCTGATGGACGGCCTCGTCAACCGGAAGGACGTCCGGGGCACGCTCCGGTTGACGCAGGCGACGATGGTCACGGACTGCAAGGGCCTGTACGACGCCTTGGCGCGCAGCGTGAGCGCCAGGTTGGGAGCGGACGACCGTCGCTCAGCCATCGAGGCGCTAGGCCTCCCGCAGGCGATGGAGGAGGGAGCCACCGAGCTGCGCTGGGTCCACTCGGAGGCCATGCCGGCGGATGGGCTGACCAAGGGATCGTGTGCGGCACGGTCCGCGCTGGCCGACTTCCTGACCCGCGGCTACTGGCGGCTGGTCCAGGACCCCACCTTCACCTCGGCGAAGAAGCGGCGCCAGCAGGGCCGAGAGGACATCCTAGACGACGGAATCGAGCGCGAACCTATCTTCCCTTCGCCTGACAACGCCGAGGACCTAGACGACTACGAGATGCCGGTGGGGTACACCGGCCACTACGACGAGTGGCAGTACGATAGCTTCGACGACCTCCCCGTGTGAATCATGTGAGACACGATAGGCGCAGCGAGCTCTGAATATCGTCTTTGCTATCTCTGCCTTTCTTACTTGCGTCATCTTCCACAGCCATGTTGGGACAAGCTGCGGTCGTAACTAGCTAGGGGACAATGCTTCACCGTGACCGGTGAGAGAGAGAGAGAGAGAAACCAGCCTCCACATCTGCACTGACATTCAGGGGCAGCCAAAAGGACGCGAAGACGATCCAAGAGAGTGCCAAGACAGCGTCAGAGAGTTCAGCAATATCCCCGAAACGTCGTTGCATGTGACTCCGAAGTCTTCATGGTGAGACGGCCAAAAACAATGAAAAACTATGGAAATTAAAATTTTAGGTTCTCTGGGCGCTCTCGGGAGCCCTCTCGGAGCTCTATTGAGGTCTCTTGGAGGCCTCCTGGGAGCCTGGAGAGCCGGCCGAAAGCTATCCTGGGTTGCTTGGGAGCGTCTTGGGCCATTATTTTACGTTCTTGGGGCTGCTTGGGGCCGTCTTGGGCTGTTCTTGGGCGTTTTGAGGGCTCCCCAGGAGGTCGGGAAGCGCGGTACCGGGAGCGTTCCGCAGATGTTCCGGGAAGGGGGGCACCCAGGAGGAGGGGGGCGTACTTGTTGAACTTGACAAAAAAAATCACTGGAATTCCCTTGACCGGGAAAACGTGAGAAGGCGAAACACAATGACAAAAACCATTGGAAATCAACGATTTTACCCTCTTCGGGCTCTCTCGGGACGGCTCTCGAAGCACTCTTGAGCTGTTTGGGGGCCTCGTCGGGGCTTTTTGGGGGCCTCTCAGGGGTATGGGGTGTGTTGGGGGCCTCTGGGGGGTCCCGGAATCCTCTCGGAGGTCATGGAGGCGTCCTGCTCCCGCTCTTGGGCTCATCTTGAGCCTGTTCTGGGATGGTCTGGAGCTGTCCTGGGCGCCTCTTCGGCAGTCGTGAGGCCGTCTTGGCCCATCTTGGGGCCGTCTTGGGAGCCTCTTGGGCGATCTTGAGGCGATCATGGGGGCCTCTTCGGCCGTGTTGGAGCGTTGGAAGCATGAAATGGTGAGACGGCCAAAAACCATGAAAAACTATAAAAATTAAAGAGTTTAGGTTCTCTGGGCGCTCTCGGGAGCCCTCTCGGAGCTCTAGCCTGGAGAGCCGCCCGAAAGCTATCCTGAATTGCTTGGGAGCGTCTTGGGCAGTTCTTTTACGTTCTTGGGGCTGCTTGGGGCCGTCTTGGGCTGTTCTTGGGCGTTTCGAGGGCTCCCCGGGAGGCCGGGAAGCGCGGTACCGGGAGCGTAACCCAACTGTGATCGAGGTGGAGGACGCCCGGGGAGGGGGCCTGGCCGATTTGGTTATATTATATTTACACGCAAATGTTCAGACTCATCAACCGTGCAGGCAACCACGCTGTGGTGACACACACACACAAAGGGGTGCGATAATCTTGCACGAATCGAGAGAAACAGGACAGACGATGTGCCAAGTGAGCGGTAGCTGACCGAATCATCATGCCAAAACACACAAGTTCTGAGGTCAGGCTTGGGCGGATGGGTGAGGGCGAGAGGGAGGACCGAGGCCGCGACCCCCTGTCGCCCATTGCAGCACCTCGCGGTGACGGGTGCTGGGGGAGTAGAGGACTCCTGGCTACTCCCCCTATCAAACATCGTGTCCTGCTCATCCTTTCTCTGTTCCCTCTCCGCCCCCTCATTCCTCCTTGCTCCGCATGGATCCTTTTTCATCCCCGCTCCTCCTCCCGCATACATCCTCCCCCTCACCCCTCCTCCCTCTCTCTCCTCACTACTCATCACGCACGCATTAAGATCCTTCGAATCGAATCCCCACATCATCCGTGTCCTGCTGTTGCTGCTGCTGCTGTTCCTCCTCCTCCTCCTCCTCCACCTCCTCCTCCTCCTCGTCCTCCTCCTCGTCCTCCTCCTCCCCGTGTTTCTCCTCCTGGTCCTCCTCCTCCTCCTCCTCCTCCTCCTGCTCATCCTCCTCATCCTCCTCATCTTCCTTTTTCATCCTCCTTCGCCTTCATGTCCCCGCCTCCCTCCACTCCTTCTCTACCTTCTCCTCCTTCTCCTCCTCCTCCTCCTCATCCTCCTCCTCCTCCTCCTCCTCCTCATCATCATCATCATCATCATCATCATCATCCTTCATCCTCCTCCTCCCCCTCATCCTCCACCTCTCTTGCCCTCTCCACGTTGCGTCATTCGTCTCTATTGCTAAATACTCCGACGCTGCCACTAGAGATCCAGGGCCGCCCATCCCACCTATGATAATGTATGCAATGTTAACACTCTTGCTGTCAGCATGCACGTTGCGTCGTCCACATTGCAACATGCACGGCTCGAATGGGACAGGGCGCACCTTGAGCGAAAAAGCCGGCTTGTCGTTCCAATGTCGGTTTGAAATCAATCCACCCCCCTCAAAAAATGTGAACTCCCGTTGGGATGTGGCGCGCGCTTACCGCACCCAACTTCGTCGACGCGCGAACGGGATAAAATGTGGGTTTCGCCTCGGCGGATCACAAATTTCGCCTTAGAGTGGCGGTCCCGCCCTGGCGCGGCGCACACTTTTCGCTTGCCAATGTGTGGGGCCCCGCGCGAGCGGGCGACTTGTCACCCTCGGCCACGCTCCGTGCGCATTTCGGTCGAAACTGTCGATTCCGCACGGGCGCGGCGCATGACTCGGTCGCCGAAGTTCATGATAGCAACAGCGGCAAGGGGGCAGCGCGCGATAGCGGGCGCAATGCTGACCTTGCACACGCGCCGGCCGCACAGCTTGCGAGTAAAACTGGCAAGGCTGTTTCGGCGCAGTGCATGATTCGTCTTCGCCGCTTCCATCGAAGTGTTGGACCTCCCGTCGTTGGCCGGCCTGCGTCGCTTCCTTGCGCCAAGCCGTAGTAAAGGCGGCCGCGGTGCGAGCGCCGTCGGTTTGCCAGGTGCAAGCTCGTTCCGATACCAATACCAGGTTGTGCCACAATTGATTGTGATGTGATGGGGGAGGCTGGAAACCTCCTCCTCCTCCTCCTTCCGATCCCTTCCCCTCTTCCTCCTCCTCTTCCTCCTTCTCCTCCTCCTCCTCCGGTGTTGCGCGCTGCGACAGCGAAGGCTGGCGAAAGCCGTCGCGTCATAACGCAGAACGGCAAGAAGAACGCATGCCTCACAACACCGTGCGATCATGATGACGCAATGCAGTCAGCGAGTACCCCGCGGACGATGGGCGACGGTCGAAACAATCAGGAGTGTCTTGATGAGGCGGGCAGTAAGAAAGGACCCCACCAATTCCCCCGACCCATCATTTACGCTCCCAACATCCACTTCGCCCCAACGTCCCCCCACATATGTTCGCGCTGTGCCGCTCGCGGCGGCTTGGGCAGGGGCACCAGGGCAAAGGAAATCTGGAGGAAGGTTTGTTCAAAGTTGCCAAGAGCTCGCTTGCGTTACAAAACCAATGGTGCCATGACACGACGGCGCGCGACAAGGCAATTGAAACTGCCGCGGCCAGTCAGTCTTGAACCGCCAACCCCCACCTCCGCTTCCCACCACGGATCCGCCTGTGGTATGGCGCGCTGTTGCACCCAACGCTATTAAGATACGTGGCGGGCTGCCCGCCACTGGGGCTGCCCTAGCAATCGAGCCCGAAACGTATCCACGGGATGCTGGCAATGTCATGTTACTTTGAAACTCCGGCAGCGCGTGAATGCGAAACAGGGGCGGCAAGCGAATATGCTGACACTGCAATGGAAGTCGTCGACCACCGCGTCCTCGTCTGATGTCTCCCCTCCCACATGATAATATAACGGGCGCCCTTCATCTTACAAAAAACAATGCATGACCCAGTCGAAAAGCTTCAGTCAAACCCCCCGTCGGCTGAGAAACCGAGCGCGGAGACGGGTGATGCGCAAATTGCAAAAGCGACCAGGTGGCAGAAAGTCTTGGGGCAAGTCTATTCAAACCCTGGCTCCACGCAGCCAAGGAAAAGTGCGAAACTAAAGCAATTAAACATATAACGCAAGCCAGAAGTGACGGTGATTTGGGCGCGAACGTGCAGGGGCTCCCTAACACGCGATGCACAATTTTGAAGTGATGCAAAGCACCACGTCACGCATGATGCTTAACATCTTCTATAGCGTAGGTGAAAAATCGCGCAGGCGAGCACCTGGGCCTCCACTGGTCCTGAGCTGAAATCTCCGACAAAGCGGCGGGCTACGATCGCCCAGACGCGAGTCCAGCTTGCACTCCGTAGCGCGAGCCAGTTCGCACCTTCCTTTTAATGATATGTTGGTTGGTGCATCGCACGTGCGTGCGCCTACTGTAACCGTCCACATATGTATATAGTGAAAGCGCAAAAAGTATCTTAACAACTCCTACTTGGCTAACTCTGATGTCTCCTCGTCGTACTTTCTAGCGGAATCAAAGCTGACTAACCTCGATGTGTTGGATTTGTCCCAGTCCTCGCCTGCTAGCCACGGCAACGGCTGGGCTGGCATCGCACTTTGCTGACACGCCGATCAAAATCAAAATATTCGAAAGATTCTTGTAATCGTAACGCGCTTGGGCCGCCTTTTCAACATTCTGCAGTAATCTGCCTCACCTGAAAATAACGCCGGTACACTTCTGAATTTAACCCCGCGATGTTGCCAAAGTTGATCCACGATGTTACCCACATTACCAATGCGTTTTCTTGCAGCTGGCGGAGTCGGCGTCAGACCATGCGGTTGGGGCGTTCTTGATGCTAACGCTGATGCCCGCGCCCGATGTGGCTCTTGACGTACTTGCCCAACTTTGCCAGGCATTCCCATGCCCATCGGGTTGTGGCTGGCATAGAGCACGCGAGCTCCTTGACGGAGGATTGTTTCAGGACGGTCTTGCAATGCATACTTTGCCCTGGCCACCAACGCCTGGCATCTCCTAACTGCGTGACTTGGTTGGGGCCTCTCACGCGCTGTTTCGCAAGGCTGCTTTTCACCAAGTTGCTCACATAAAAAAGTATTGCCTCATACCTAACTCTCCAGCGGATATGTCAGGATGCCGTTGGTCCACCTCGTGCCACAACCAATCCCAGATCAAAGTATGTTGGCACTGGTCCGAGTCTGCATCGTAATGATACTTTGGATTTCTCTCTGGTCTCTCCTTCCAACAAGTCAGAATCAATATCACCACCCAAGGGAGTCAAATGCTTTCCATGAACTGTTCGCCCGATTCGCCGCGCAATATGTTGAAGCACGCATGGCGACGCTTTCCCGTTGTGAGAACCAAACCACGTGCAACAACATTGTAACAATATTACAAATTTCCGGCGGCGCCCCGACTGCCGTGCATGAACTTTACTCCTCTTTCACGCGCGCCCTTTGCACGATCTTCTTCCGGTAACCTGATGAATATGCGGTTTTCGGGCTTGGCGCTGCAATAGTCCCACTTAACATCTATGCGTCCCAGCTTGAGTCCTTTCACACGCCCATCTCGGTTATGCTCTATCCCCTGGGTAACTGCCATTGTGGATAGCAGTTTGTGGGCTTCCAATGGAGGGGTGGGCTGCTGCAAATGTGCACCACTGTTTGGAATTGCGTAGAACTTGCTGTGCCACGAGCCGGGATCTGCGCCCAGGGTTGCCCTCGTCGCACTTGTGAGCTCCATTTTTGGAACTGAGCGCCCTGAGGGCACTTGGCGGAATGTGCCATGATCTCTTCTGGTCCAAGTTGACGCGGGACCATCCCCACCCTCGTCGCGCGGCTCGTTCCGTTGGATTGTCGGGCCACTCGCTGCGAGAAAGCACCCTAATCGGTCGGCGGCCGTCGTCCCGTTCACCGGGCCCTCGAATGTAATTCGACACAGTCGGTCCGGGCATGCCTCTGGCCTCCTCGTCCGGCCTCCTCCCATTCACTCGATGCGCCGACGCTGACGGCGACGCGTCGCGCTGAAGGCCGTTCCGATGTAGGGGCTCTTAGTCATGAACCGAGTGAGCTTCTCTATTCGCGTTCCCTCTCCAGACGCAACCTGCTTCTCCTCATGGCGGCGCATGTCGCCCTCGTGCGTGCGCATGCTTTCGCGCTCTCACATCCGCTGTGCTGTCGCATTGGCGGCGCGGTCCAGCTCGAGGCCCCCGCAAGGTGCTCGCAGAGAAGAGATGATCCATTGCCGTTTTGAAGTTCACATGCCCCCTCATCTTTCCCGGCCCAAGCCCTTTCGAGTTAAAGGCGTAAAACATGCAGATGGCTGCGCGCATTCGACTTGCAATCAAAAACACTGCGGGTTCACTCTGGGTGAATTCGTTCGCCCCCGCCACCTCGCAGTTTTAAACCCGCGGGCTTCCAGGCTGATCGCGCGAAGTCAAGTCCATGGCTAACTCGGGCATGATGTCCACTTCTCCGCCATGCCAGTGGCTCGGACTGGCGAGTAAGCCTCATTTGAGGGAGTTTCTGTGGAACTACCGTCATCCTCACAAAACCGGCGCGGGGAGCACGGGGCCCAGAGCGGCCTCCGGCACCGTTTCCGGACAGATCCGCTGGATCCGGTGGATCCGCCGACGAATCCCAAACCGGCGCCCTCGCTTGAGACATCCTCCCAAAACCGGCCCCGGGGGAGGTGCCCAGAGGAGCC